CCAGGTTCGCCAGTCGAGCATGGGCTTTGGTGCAAGATCAGCAGAAGTACTGTCACCACCACTAGGTGCGACCATTCGTAGTACTCTTTCTGAGCACATGATCCATAGTCCCGCACCATTGAGGGTGTTGGCCTTGGTGCAATTACGATTGTTACTCTGTTTGTTCGCATTATTAGATTGCTAGTGGCAGTGTTACCAACAACTCCGTTACGTTGCCATCAGTGTCCCGCCATCTTCAGTCATCGTCACCAGCACTGAGGCAGCACAAAAAGGTTTTGATAATGCAACAGATAATTCTATGTGCATCAATCTTGCTCATAATGCCGTGCACCACCCTAAATTTTAAACCCTAGAACCCTAAACCCCAAACCCTAAACCCTAAACCCTACACCTGAACCCCCCAAACCCTATTCTAAGTGCGTAGGTCCACCCTCCTTAGTCCTTGGTCGTTGTGGGGCAGGACTTCCTGTTGATCGAGGATCGCTTAGAGCCCGGACCCTGGCAACTGGCTCTTTTGTTTTGGGGAGTTGAATAGAAGCCACCATCCGAGGAATATCCAGTAAATGATGTATGTTGCTTCTTATGGCGACGGATTTCACGCAGCTTGCTTCAAACTTCTTCGTGAGATGCCGTCAACCCCTGCTTTAGTGTTTGGGGTGCAGATTTGGCCTTGTCCAAGGCAACGTAAACCTCACACCCCAAAACCCTCTGAGGAAAAGGGCGGCTAACGTCTAGACCTTAAAGGCTGAACCTTGAACCTGAATTCTAAGCAAAGATCCATGTTCTCCATGTTCTCCAGTAGTACCTTTCTTGCTTTTCTTGCTTTTGGCTCTCTGGTAAACGGAAGAGCAGGAGAAAGGAAGTCTTTTTTCAGGAGCATCTGCTGGAGACCTAGGAAAAATGGTCAGAGACGCCACCCTAAACCCTAAACCCTAAACCTAAACCCTAACCCCTAATCCTAAACCCTGAAAACCCTCGAGACACCGGTCACCTGAGGAAGGTTTACGCATCGGTGAAGGATCAGCACGAGTTGCTGGCCAAGTACCGACGCCAGAAGGCCAGAAGTTCGAGGTTGCTAGGGTTTGGGTGGAAGGGGTTTAGGGTTAAGGGTTCAACGTGTTAGGGCTGGTGTCTTCGAGTTTTCTTGAGCAAGGTATGGAAGCGCAGTCATGAGAGCTGAACTTCCGTAGGCTCAGACATTTGGGCGATTGCACAGCTTTGGGTTGTTAGGGTTGGTGGTACGAGCGCTCCAAGTGATTGACAGGAGTTCCAGGGGTTTCGACAGTTCGTTTCTGCTTGGGCACACGGCAGAGGGAGCCTGCAAACGGGTGTCAGGCGTTAGGGTTTATGGGTTTGGGGCTCCGGGTTTAGGGTTTAAGGGATCAGGGTTTAAAGGTTCAGGGTTTAGGGTTGAGCCTGCAACTGAAAGGGTTCAGGGTCAAGGGTTTAGGGTTGAGGGTTGAGTTCCAATGCAGCGGCTTCTTTAGTTGCAGTCCAGATGTCGGGTGCTCGGATGTCAGGAGTTTGGCATGACGCCATATCCTCCGCATTCCCTGTCTGCACGACGCTGAGCCTAGTGTGTCTCGGGCTTTGTGAGAGTGTAAACCCTAAACCCT